CATTGTCGAACTAACGGCTAGTCCAAAGGCCAATTTTTCCTATTGACGAGCTAACGGCTAGTCTGAAAGCGACGAACTGCGGTGAAATTGGTGCAATTACGGTTATTTTAGGACCGTGAAAATCCATTTGTTGGTTTTGGTCCCGCTCAGACTAGCCATTAGCTCGTTGAGGATATCCACGACAGGTAAGATATTTGTCGCTCACAACCCTTTCCACAGAACCACTTCATAAGATCTGAACAAACATCGGTAAAAACACCAAACATTCCACAAAGATTGATTTGTCCGTTCGTTCGTTTCTTTAAAGTCACTTTGTGATGTTAAAGAGCCGTTCAGCGGTTCCGGTAACCAAGTCCGTAAGGTTCTGACAGCCGGCGCGTCGCACTCGGGACTCAACGGTCCACTCAGAGTGCGCGGGTCGTGGATGAGCCTCGTCGTTTTTCTTTTTTTCAGGCACTTCTACTGTTTTTTTTTTACTCTAAAATGGAACAGGATTATCGGTGAGAGCAGGGAACCGACGGTCACTGGTAGCCCTCCAGCCCAGGTTCAAGTCTTCGTTTTTGCTTGACGGGTGTCGTCGAACGCACCTCGTTGGCGTTTAGATTTAGCACTTCCTTTAAAAATAATCTTGAAAAAACAATAACATTCCAACCGGAACCGGCGTTGCCGTTGCTTCAAAGTCGCAGTCTGCCGGCAGACCGAGGGTTTTCCTGATACGAACATTTGGAACGCTTGTTGAGCCGACCCGGTCTCCTGCACCGACTGAACCCACGTCAAATAAAGGGCGACTGGGGGGTAATTTAGAGGGGCGTTAAGTCGTGGCTGCTCGTTTGATGAGGGGGAGGAGCTTCGTTACACCAGCGTCGGGCAGGATCGTGAAGAAGAGCCGGAACGATCCAGATGAAAACCCCGACTGCGCGGTCGTGTTCTGGTTTCCTTCCTCTAACAAAACGACTGCGAAGGAGATGATCCATGGTATCTACGGTGCTAGTTCTGAACTGTACATAAGAATATTGATGACGTCTTCATGTTTTTGAGCAACACGTACACGATATATCTCTTTTTTTTCCCCCGGTTACACGACACTGCAGCTCTAACGGTAGAAGTGGAGTGTTGCGCTCTTAGCATGCGGGTTGCTGCACCTCTACGGGAGAGGCAAGGTAGTATTTACAGAAGGGCTGTTTGGGGTTTCCCAGCGCAGCTTCGAGACACTCCGTCCCCTTCCGGACGCTCACTTCAGGATGATCTGCGGGACGGGAGCACAGGAAGAGACAAGAGTTTAGTTTCACCTGATAAGTGACGGCGAGCTACGTCGCGTCTTGATGAAAATAAAAACACCCGAGTGTTCGTGGTTTTTTTTTTTACGAACTGCACCGTCTGAATCCCAGAGGAGAGAAACTGGACTTTAAATTAGATAAAAATCAGATAAACTCTGTGAAAACAGAATGGATTGTCTGTGGTTGTAGACGCGCTGAGACCTTAAAGGGATCGTCTGAACATTCTGAAGGGGGGCGTTTTGTAGAACGGTAACGTCTTACCTGCTGTAGATGGCTTGGTGGAGAAAAATAATTTGGAGTTGATGTTGTCCTAAAACAACCGTGGAGGTTTATGAGATTAGCATTTCGTAAACCTTTTTGTTACGGTCAGTTTTGTTGCACAGATCAGGGTCTCGTCCTCGGTAATGAGGGTGTTGCTTCGATCAGTAGTGGTGAAAGAAGAGCCGAGTCCAAAGGTAAAGTTTGAATTTACTGGTTACAATGTTTCCCCTAGGTTAAATGCCTTGGCAGGGCGCTCATCTCTTCTGTGACTTTTGTCACCTGGTGTGTGGGGCGGGGGCGGGGGGGGGGGGGGGGGGGGGGGGGGGGGGGGGGGTGTTGAGACAGAGACACGTCCGTGTTGCGCACTGTTTGTGTTGACAGTTGTCGACTGAAGGTGGGTGGTGGTGGTGAAAGAAACTGCTCGGCGTGATGGAGACGGAGCGCTACCTCTGTAGCTTTTTAGCTAGCGCATCTGTATTGCGCACTGTGTCAGTTGTTAATGTGGGGAGGGGGGGATGGATTCTGTTTACACTCTGACCCCCGACTATGGTCATGACCCAAAAAACACGACCCTGGATCCACGGGTATCAGCTTCCTGTGCAGGCTCAGCCTTAAGCTGCTTTATCAAGAGTATCAGCTCTGGTTGACGGAGCTGCGTGACGAAAATTGTATCATTTTGTTCTCAGAGTAGCTCCCCCCCCCCCCCCCATCTACTCGAGGCCTGGGCTCAACTTGGTCTCACAGGAGAATGTGTAGGCCTGTCACGATAACAAGTTTTACTGGGCGATTAATTGTCTCAGAAATTATTGCGATAAACGATAATATTGTTTGAAATTTGACAATAATTATTGTCAAATTTAAGAAGAAACGTTGGTTAATTTTTGTGTGTAGTAACTTTTTTCAACCACCAGATGGCAGTAAAAGACTGTTTGAACTGAAGGATGGATAGTGAGGGAGTGAGCAGCGTGTCTTTAAGAAAAATGGGACTCTCAGAAGTGTATCTTCTCGGGTCAGGGAACACCCCGGGGTCTCCCGGAAGGAACCGGACAGCGTCTCTGGACAGAGGGGGGTCTGGGTTTCTCTCTGCGACCCGACCACAGATAAGCGGTAGAAATGGGAGATTTAGTTTTTAACTGCTTTTAACTGGACTTGCGGTTTCTTGATGGGCGCGGATGGCTGGAGCATTCTGTTGCTGCACGAACACCAAAAAAGACCGGAACGTGAGGGTTTATAAAATAATGTTTCCTTGAACTGCTGTGGTTTTTTTTTTAAGAATGGAGGCGTGGAACGGTGACGATCTGAAATTTCATAATCGCGTTTAATCGACAAAAATCTGACTATGAACCATATTTATCACGTCTATGTGATTACAGTCAAGTACTGTAGTTGTGAGTAAAACGGAATAACCTACTCACTATTTTTTTTTTTAATCTCCTGCCGCACAAAAACGTCATTAAATGAACGTGTACAACATGAGGTGACAGTCCTGGTCTTCGAGGGCCACGATCCTGAACGTTTTCTAAACCTCCCTGCTCCGACGCGCCTGATTCAATGGTTGTAACTCCCCTCCGTGACCACTGATTCAAACCAGGTGTGCTGGAGCAGAGAAACCTCTAAAACCTGCAGGACAGTGGCCCTTCAAGGACCAGGACTGGACAACCAATGCACCGCTTCAGGAGCGGGAAATACTGGCATGAAGCGCCAGGGGGCGTCGAAACTTAAATAACAGATGCGTAAATTGACGTTTAATAATTGTTCCTTTCTTTGTGCTTTTGTCATGTAGGGAGGATCTTATTTTATACTGAAAAGTAATAAAAAAAAACACATCCGAGTTATTTTAAGATTACCTCAAAGAGCCATCTACAGCAGGTAAGATACTATTTGTTCATGTCATTACCGAAGAACAAATGCTCAGAAATGGACCTTCACTCAACAAAATGTCCAGCGTGATAAATACCGTCACTTTGTTGCGGTCGCCGCTGAGCGCTCCTCCTTTTAGGAGATCATTCATTTGGGACGCGTTAAAACGAGGGAGACGGAGGACGGCAAAGTGACGAGAGCCGGTTGAGGTAAAAAGGGAGAGGGGTGAATTAAGAGGTGGACGAGACGCCAACGTGCTCAGAAAACCAGACAGAAGCCACAGAGCGTGGCAGGAGAGTGAAATGTTTCTGATAACGATCATAAATGTGCAGCGTGAGGCAGCAGCAGGTTGGAGAGAGGAGGCTGCAGGTGTTGGTTCAGCTCGCCTGCAGCTGATATTCAGCCACTAGAGGGTGCTGCAGCTTCACAAACTGCAGCTGAAGAACCCTCTGGTTCAGACTGAATCACTAAAATCTGCACAGGAACCAGTTGCATCATCCCGTTCTGCTCACTGGACACAGCTGACGATGGTGTCTGAGCAACGGGGGGGGGGGCGGGGGCGGGGGGGGTGCACTAAGGTGGGGCCCTCC